AATTCATCATTGATAGGGCCAGATTTAATGCGGTCACAAGATGTCGCTTCCTTTGCGCATCCGGCGAATACCAATACAACTCGAGTGGATTGTCTATATTGCACTAAGATGATTTCGTATTTGTAAGATATGGCCATCATATCCACTCTTGTTGACCAACTACTATTATATTTCGGTCTTGCACATACAAGTGCTAAGTCACTTAGGTGCATCTATATTTCATACAAGATTAAGTATTTTGTTAGTATTATGTTATCATAATATCATGTATATTATACAGGGTGGCTCACGCTCAACGGGACGGAGCTTTATGGGAAAACGACCAAAGATATAAAAAATTCGTTTGGGAGGAATACGTAGGTTACAGACGGCTACAATTTAAAATTTGTTAGATGTATACAGGATGTCCCACATAAGAGAAAATATACAAAGGTATATTATTTTTAATGGAACACTCTGTTTTTTATTTTAGAATTAAAAACTACATCAAAAATAATGTCAGTTAACTAAAGGTTCCCTATTACTATTATTATTAGTTTTCGATTTATTTAAATTTTTAAGGAAAAAAGTCTCCCAGAAATTAATTGTTTACTCTTGTTTGAATAATTTTTAATGAACTAATTTTTTTTTTCTTATGTGGGACATCCTGTATACATCTAACAAATTTTATATTGTAGCCGTCTGTAACCTACGTATTCCTCCCAAACGAATTTTTTATATCTTTGGTCGTTTTCCCATAAAGCTCCGTCCCGTTGAGCGTGAGCCACCCTGTATATAACTGAATTGAATAAATTGAATTACATTATGAATGCAAGGTTTATCCAAATTTTACTAAAATAGCTCTGTCAATTACTAGTAAAAGTGTGTTCAGATTAAAAATATTAAACTTTTATTGGCTGGAAGTAGGCAAATTTACTGTAACCAAGACTGTAACATAAACATTCATTTAAAACGGTGAAGAAATATATTTTCATGATTTTTATACACAAAATTAACCTAGCTACTTTAACATATATATTATTAAAAATTAGTAAAAACGCGACAGTAAAAAAGAACATTATAAGAGGCCAAAATTAAAAAAAAAAAATAATAAAAAATATTTATTAGAGACTTAACAAGTGGTGAACATTTTCTCTTCCTAAGTTTATAATGTATGTTTTAAAAGGTTTTTTTTTTTTAATGAATTCTAATGAGTTTATATTGAGAAGGTACAATTTATATCATTTGGGGAGACTATTAAATACTTTACTCATTTGATGTGAATATGTTCGGATCGAGGTTCAGATACTAACATTTCTTCTTAAAAATTGTATCTGTACATTAAGATTTTCTCTATATCTTGTTTTTTTGATGGTGATTTACAAGTTGTAAACATTTTTTATGCTTATAAATAAAAATAATTATTTGATGCATAAATAACTGTCTAATATCAAGTTTGGATGGGTATGTAAGTTTCTTCTTAAATATTTTGAAAAACCACTTCTAAAGTACATCTAACTTTTTTATGTAACAAAAAGCAGCTCCTCCCCAATTAAGAATCAAATATCTTAACCTAGTTTCGATCAGAGCAAAATAAATAATTTTGAGATGACAAGGATCTATATTTTAAAATACCTAAATTTGTACAGTAATGTCCTCAGAACTTTAACTACATTTTCAATATGAATGTCAAATCTAAGATGACAATCTATATGCATAAAATTGGTACTAAGATTTTTTGTTTAGAACAGCGATACCTACAAATGTTTAGTTTCTTCATAAGAGAAAAGAACTCAAACTAGACAATGATCAAATGGGTAACTATGAAGGGGATGGTGATTTTTGAAATGATCAAATAAAGATGCTGTTTATTTCTAGCGTAAAAACTATTCCAACTGAATTTGTCCACAATTTTAGTTTGTTAACCATCTATAACTTTAACCTGTTCATAAAGTTGGTTGTTTATGATTGTCAAACGATTCAAATACTACTTGGAATAAAACTAATATAAACTTATAAATGCACTTACTTTTTTGGAGAAGCGTCCATGGATAGCCCCTCTTTTTCTGCTTAGGAATATTTCGCACAGTATGTTTTGATGATTTCGATTTTATTAAGGTTCGTTTGCTGCTATACAGCTGTTCAAAATAATTCGGCTCGCTTTTTAGAGTAGGCAAATCACAATGAGAAGTCAGAAGTTCACTTTCATCTTTAAACTGAACATATTCATTTATTTTGCTAACTACGGGCTTGATATCGTCGATATCTGCCGCTTTAATTTCGTTAGTGTTTTCAGGTTCTTTTTTAATAGTGTTAGGAAAATTATTATCGTTGGCGCACACTGATTCGTACTCACTGTTTTCCAGAAAATCAGAGTCTTCAATTTTAAGCAGTTCAGATTCTTGTTTAATCTCATCAAAATTTACAAACTCCCTGGTTTTTTGATATTCACAAATATTGTCGGTATCATCAAGCACACAGTCTTGATCGTTTTTAAAAGTTTTGTCCTCTGTAGAACACCAATAATTTCCATCCATTAGATTGTAAACAAGGTCTGGTTCCATTTTAATTATCTTATTAGTATCAACAAGTTCTTGTTTCACATCCATCGTTTTAATAACTAAATAACAAACTAGGTACTATTGTCAACAAATCAATCTTTTAAAACATAACATGGAGTGACATGGACTTCTTTTGACAGAAATTAAAAACAAAACCCATTTTGTCGTATGACAGATATCTGCCATACAGAGTTGCCAACCCAATTAAAAAAAAAACTGTCAGTGGGAAGGGTTGAATATCTGTAGCGCGTTCAGATGATTTTACACGGGAGTCTACTAATTTTCTAGATCGTTTGCCCAGACTACTCTAAAGTAATTCTCATTGGCCCAACATTTCTGAACGGCAACGAAAGTAAACGTCAACGAATTTGAAAATTAAAGTTTTTTACAGTTTTTTTACAGACATTTTATTCCCTTATATAATGTTTGATGTTCCTCGCTTCTCGTTGTTACTCGTGTTTCGTATAGTTTTTATTTTTTACTTATTTATTTTTGTTTAGATGTTTTTTTTAAGGCAAGAAATTTTAGATTATTTTAAAATAAACTTAACCTCATAAAATGCCATGTACAAACACCTTTATGACACATTTGGGTGAATTGCCCAAAGGACACTGCCCATAAAAGGAACAGAAGAAAAAGAAGAACCTTTATGACACACAAAAATAATATGAAACAGCAACTTCTGCAAAACAACTCTACGTTCTGTCAAATTTACTCAAATGAACCCAGTCTAAACTGGGTAAAAAAGAGTGCACTCCAGACTAATTTGACTCGACTTTCTGAACGAGAGTAACTAAACGTCCAAATTGAACGCTCGACTATTCTTGAACGAACCAAGACCAAATTGATCGCGCTCTTTTTGGTCGGAGCGAGTTTCCTGAACGAACTCCTGCTGCTGCGTTTGAACACTACCTCGTTATGCTCTTTTTACTCGAAGCCGTTCTTTTAATACGTCTGCGGCTTCTCGGTGGGATCTACTCCGTGGTCTTTTACTGCAGAGCTTGTAAATCTAGTAAGATCTATTTACTCGGAATTAAATTTTAGAGCTTTCGGAGTAAATGTAATTTATGTGACAATGGACAAAGAAAAAAGCAGAAAACTTTTTAACTATATATACAGTTTACTGTCACTGGAAAAAAGCAACTGAAGTTGTAGATGTACTTCTTTGACTTATGACAGAGGTATTAGGAGGATCATCATCTGATAACAAGCTATTATTATTATTATCATTGTCGTTATTAGCAGCATTTGATTTTGGTTCTGCTTTCTTCCTCAAATGAACTTTCTGGAATTCATAAACATCCTTTAAAATCTCTTGATTACTTTTGATCACATCTTCTGGATTAAAATGTAATTCACAAATAAAACTAGTAGTTTTTTTTTCTTGACCCAAAGCGGAGCTCCATTTGCTGCGCATTTCAACTTCCTTTAAAAAAAATTAATTCTATATACAACATAGCAAATGAATGAAGTCAATTAAAATTGTTTGACGATGTGAAAACAATCAAATTTGTATAGGTAACTACCTGCAGGCTGTTTTACTTTAAAAAAGTATAGCTTTGATCAGCGCCTCGTTTATGGAACACCCTGTATATTTAAGAATAATTGTTAAATTAAACTTTTATATTAAAAATTTCTTCGCATTTCCAATAATAAAACAGCTATATCTATCAATTACGTACTGATGGGACACCCTGTATATGTGTAATTGGCTAACATGTGTGGTATCGTCGGATTGGTCAATTTATAAGGAATTTTATGATAAAATATTATACAGGGTGTTACATTTAAAAAGTGGAGCAAATTGAACTTAAAATTAGCTATATTTAAGACGTTTTAAAACACAAAATAAACCAGTTTTATAACTGCTATTCGTTAGCTTAGTATCTTATAAGTCTGTATATTAAACAATTTTGAAATCAATGTAAATCTACCTAAATTATGATAATTTAAATGCAACATCCTGTATATCCAAAAATATTTTTAAAGGTAATATGTATTTTTCAAATCCATATATAACTTTCATTTGAAACTTGTTTGCGTGTCTATAGCACAAATTGAAATATTGAACAATAATTACGCACTAAGGTATAATAAAATTTATATTATTTTGCTAGCTGGACGTTCTGTAGCACACTGGTGAATAACAAACAGCTAAAAGAATTACATACACAAATTATTCTAGATAAAATATATATTGTGATGGTATTTAGTTGTCAAATATTAAAAAAAAACATTTTTATCGCACCCTATATGATATAAAATGTGAGTTTAGATTTCAAATATAAATAAAAAAAATATTTTTAAATGTTTACTTTGTTGTTAAACTTTCTTTAACACACCCTGTATTATATAAAATGTGAAAATTGTAACATCAAATCATTATCTTTTGTGACAGCTAGAAAAGGTAATCTGATATATAATTTTTTTTTTATTAGCGACGGTTGCTAGGAAATATAAATAAGGGGGTAGACATCTTGAAATTTGGAGAAAAAGAAAAAATTTGAGTTGGAAAATTAAAGCCAAAGGATTTAAAAAAAATCACAGTATCAAACAATTTCCCATGGTAGATTTTTTGTAAATGGATGAAGGAGAACTTTAGAGAAGGTAAATAAAACAAATGTATTCCGTTTTAACTAATTATACAATATTAAGTAGGCTTACCTGGTAGAATTGAACGTTTCTTTGTGAACCTTGCAAAAAGGTATGGTTTCTTGTTTCCAATTTGTCTTAAAAATTCATATAAAGTACTAGGATATATTTCCGGATTTGTTTACAAAACAAATCTGATTCTTCATGGTATAAGCTACAAATGGAAAATTATGTAATGTACCACAGAAAGAAAAGGAATATCTGGTACTGTGAGACTAGCAATACTTACTTTGAAAATATCCAAAGAAATAGGTATAATATTTTGAAAAAAAAAATTTTTCTTTAAAGTTTTGAGACATAAACAACAATTCTGTAGTGTTAATATAATCCGATTTTTGACATTTGTGGAACTATTCTCGTTGTATGAACAACGCTATTCTTTTCGTCGAGTACAAAAAGATTTCTCCCTTTCTAAAGAATAATATTTTATCTATTCTTCGATAGATGGGGATAGTGGTACGACTTGATTTAAATTAATGTATTTTTTTAGATTTAACCATTTTAGACAGTTTGAGAAATTATTTATAGGGTAAAACCCCCAGTTATTGGCACCTTAAGAATATGTTTCTCAAAATAATTAAAAATTTCAAAAAATGTCAGCAATTTGTTTTTAAAATCTATTTAGTATTATTAATATTTATAGCATATATGTTGATAGTAGTAGTAATAAAATTCGCCCAATTTTAACAAATAAGAACGTTGTATTGAAGATTTAAAAAAAAAACAGTTATTGGCACTAAAAACGCAGTACTTGGCATACTGAAAATACCCAATTATTGGCACTAAAGAATTAAAATGGTAAATGGTGATTGTAGCTGTTTTATAGGCGTTTTTTATAATGTTTATAAACCTTTCAATCAAATAAAATACAAAAAGGACGTTTCTTTAAATTTACTCATTTCAAAACATTACAAAGAGCATTTCCAATTGATAAAAACATTTTACGAACGCAAACTTAGTTTGACGGTACAAACACCACATCTATAAAAATCCTTGAATATTCCACGTTTTTTCAAACAGACCATTGATATACTCTGTTACATTCTTGGCATTTTATTCCAATTTTATTTAAAGTTATATTTGTCACACATAAAAAACATAAACCAGTTCTTTTTATGACATTATTTTTTACTTCATCGGTAGTTTCGGTTTTACAAAATTTTTCTGAATTAGGATGGTTTTTTGCGATTTTAGTTGCTTCAGCAGGGGCATCTACAAGCTCAGTGTCAGCAGTTTTACTTGTTTCAGCAGGGGCATCTACACAAACAGTATCGGCAGTTTCACTTGCTTCAGCAGGGGCATCTATACAATCAGTGTCGGCAGTTTTACTTTTTTTTTCCTTGTTTAGACTGTTTTTCATCTACTTGACTTTTTTTTGTTTGTTTAGGCTTAGTTTGTTTCTCCAATTGCTGCTTTAATCTCTTTTGTCTGTTTTCTTCTTTTTGATGTTCTAGTGCTTCTTTCTTTTTCTTCTTTTCTTCCATTTCTTTTTTGTAAGCGCTAGAAGAGATAACGAAAGACGTTCTTTTTATTTGATTTTTGTTTTTCCTTTCAGGCGTTTTCGCTTTTGGAAGGAAATCTTCTAAATTTAATGCTCTTACTTCTTCTATTATTTCTGACCCGCAACTATTAAGGCCAGATTCCACCGTTTGCTTACTACTCATACTTTTTAAAATAAACGTAACATTCCTCAGAAAGTACAATTAAGATAATGACAATAAAATACCTGGAATATTTTCCAAATTTTCCTCTGTATTTTGGTCCAAATTGTCTAACATGAAATAATTTTGATTCATATCATTGTCATTATTCTTGGAATCATGGCCTACGAACCGAAAGAAAACTAATTAAAAATAAATAAATTAAAAATAATACTTGCATTACCTTGAAAATTTTTAAAAATATCTTGATCATTTTGGTCCAAAATATTTAATGTCCTCTTCATTAATATCAAATTTACCTTCTAAGTTTTGGACTAGTCACAGTTTTAGTTATACCTGAAATAAAAAAAATAGATTCCATCACAGGTGTAACTTTATTTTAATACCTTCTGCTTTTTCTTTAACAATAATAGTTTTAGGTTTCAAAATTTTAATATGTTTATGAATAATTATTTTGTCATTATAGGCTAACGTTTTTGGAGATTCTGATTTTACATATAAGCTTATTATCAAAAATTAAAGGTATGTCTTTAATTTCTTCTTCTGAAAATAATTTATAGTATCGTTATCAGACATGTTAAAATCAACCATGCTGTCATTATTATTTTCAGTTATTTCAATGATGTTGTCATCATTATTTTAAGTGGCACTAGAGGAAACTGTAGGATTGTTTTCAAAATATGTAATTTTTTTTAAGGATATTAGAGCTTTCGCACTTGTACTTATTTAAGTCATTCTCCAGTTCTAATATTTTATCTTTTCCCACTATGTTAGAAAAGTCCATAAAAGTCATGAGTTTTTCTAGTTTGTTGTCATTTTCATTTTTAAAAGTCAATATAGATTTTCGTCCCAAACATTTGGTAAAATCAATTCTGTCTGGATTCTATGGATGTAATCCGCATGCTTCAAATACTTTTAAAAATGTTTCTAATTTTAAATTAGTCAGAGCTTTTTTAAGAATTGGCGCAAAGTATTCTTTTCCTAATTTTATGTAAGGATTTTGTCTTCGCCATTCCATTACCGCCTTTATCCAACCATTTTTAAGCGGTTTAAAGCTTGAGACATCTGCAGGTTGAATAATACGAGTAGTATTTGGATAAAGTGCTATCAATATAATATTAAGCTCGTTACATAACTTAGAAACTTCATAGGTCAAGTGGGTCTTATGGCCATCCAAAAACAAAATTATTGGCAATGTAATACCCTTGTCAATAATATATGGATGCAGAATATTTTTTATGTAGTCTACGAATATTTCGGCCTTCATCCAACCATTATCACTTAAGCCAATGACCCAGTGATTTGGAATGCTATTTTGAATTGTTGCACTAAGTCGTTTATTTGGATAAATTATGAGGGGAGGAGTGATGTTGCCAGATGCCTAAAATGTAAACATTACCTTTAAATTTTGCTTTGCATCGCCCTGATCTACCTCATATACGTTTTTTGCACCGTGAGGGGCAATGACTTTTCCCATTTTAGGACAAAGAAGGAAGCAAGTTTCATCCCCAGTAAAGACACGGGTGGAATCTTCTAATATAAAAAAATATTTCCTTTTTGTTTTAAATAATTTTCTATTTGCTCAAACCATTTCCTAATATCAGCTTCTGCTACGTTTGCTGATGCACTTTTTACGGTTTCTGAAGTTCGATGCGCTAGTATGGGACGACGCCTCAAGAAAGCCGCATACCAATGTTTTCCTGACATATTATCCTTAAAAGGAGTGTTACGTTCAGCAGTATCTAAAAATGTTTTAAAAGATGCCTGAATGTCCTCTTTTCTTCGAGGAAAACCTTTGCTATGACTTTCTAATATCCAGTTAATAATAATAATAATAAGCTTTATTGTCTAACAGAATTACATCCATTAATAAGACAATTCAGATAAGAATAGTAAGAAAATATACAAAGTAATTAAAAAAAAATATTAGTTTACAAATAAATGAACATTTGATAGGATACAGGATACAGCCCGCCAAGTTTATTATTGATTAAATAAGATATTTTTCACTGACTTACTAAAACTACATAAAGTTTGATTGAATATATCAATATGTGGACTAATTTTGTTTAGTTCCCTGCACATGATATGTAAAGGCGATTTTAGCATGACATTAGTACTTACTGAGGGTAGGTAGAACAGATTTTTGGATCTGGTATTTAAGGGAACATAAAAATTTAGTTGGTATAATAAATCAGAACAATCAATCATACCATTAACCAACTTGTACAAAAAAATTAGAGATATATAAACTCGTCTATCCTTGCAAGTTGGCAAGTTGAACCTTTGAAGTAACCGAGTGTGATCGAATCCACGGGTAGGATACACTCCATCCATTTTAAAAGCCATATATTTGACAAATTTACGCTGGACTTTTTCTAAATATTGAATATGAGCCTCATAATAAGGATTCCAGATTAGGCATCCATACTCTAATTTGCTTCTTATGTAATGGAAGTATAGTAGTTTAGTTGTAGAAGCATTTTTAAACTTATTGCAGGAGCGATATATGAATCCCAATAGTTTTGTGGCAGAAGCAGAAATGGCTGCAATATGTGAGTTGAATGACATTTTGGAATCAAATGTAATCCCTAGATCTTTGAAATTTGAGACGCGAGCAAGTGACATAGATTGAATTTGATAGTTATAGATAAAAAAATCATGCTTTAAGGAGTATGACACAACCTTACATTTTTTTACATTAAGAGGTCTGTTTTCATTGCACCATTGATCAAGGGCAAATAAATCATCTTGCATCTGATGGCAATCGTCATTGCAAGTAATGATTTTAAATATCTTTAGATCATCGGCAAATAAAAGTGTATTACATTTGAGAACAGAAACAATATCGTTGATAAATAGCGAAAATAGCAGGGGAGCAAGATTACTTCCCTGTGGAGCCCCACTTGTAGCTTCGAATAAAAAAGATTTAAAGCCATTCAACTCAACGTATTGCAGTCTTCCCTTGAGGTATGAAGAGATAAAATCAACGAGTTGTCTGTCAAACCCTAGATTTAATAATTTTTTTGCCAATATTAAGTGGTCTAGGCGGTCAAAAGCCTTTGAGAAATCTGTGTAAACTGTATCCACTTGCTGATGATGGTCTAATGCAGAAGTAGTAAAATTAGTGAAGCAAGTTAGATTAGTGATGGTATTGCGCGAACTAAAGAAACCATGTTGGGAAGGATTAATTGAAAATTTTACTTGTTGAAAAATCTTATCATATACAGACATCTCAAAGACTTTCGAAAATCCTGACACTTGACAGATTGGCCTGTAATTATCAACAAGATTTGGATTTTCCTTTTTAAAGATAGGTGTGACCTTAGAGATTTTCCACCTAGTAGGGTAAGAGCAATGTTTTAGAGATAAGTTAAAGATGTATGATAGGGGTTTTTTTAATACCTCAGAACAGTCTCTAATGATGAACTAGTGATTGCTCTTCCTCTTTTATCAGAATTGGACATGGTCCTTTTTCGGTTTTTCGAAAGTCTAAATTGAAGAGTAGCTCGAGGAACTCTATATTTTAGAGCAGTTTCCTTTTTCGCGCCATTTTTTATTTCATGTAAAGCTTTCGGTACAGATTCTTCAGAATACCTTCTTTGTTGTTTTTTCTTTTTTAATTTTCACCATCTGTAAATATAAAATAAAATGAAGCATTAAAAATACTAAAAACATTTCTATCTTAAAATATGGGGCATGCCAACTACTGGGGTGAGTCGATACCAGTTATTGGCCCCCCGTGCCAATTACTAGAATTTAGGATTATTTAGAGCCAGTCATTGGCCCCCTCATATTTTAATAAAATTTAGGTAAACCGTTACAATTTGGCTTCAAATTAACTCAATAAACACTAAATATCGAATCAAAAAACATTCAACAAATAGAAGCTAACTATTTTACATAAATACTTACTGTTTCTGAAAGACCGCTGCTTAGCAATATCCAGTTACATTTTACTTATAAATACTTATAAAAGTGGTATACTATACTTATTCAAACTAAAAATACATTTTAAAAATATTATATTTTAGGTTTCCTTTGTATCTAATGACAATCATGATTCCTATACTTTCCTTATCTGTATACAGACAGGAAAGTAAAAATGTCAATCATAACATTTACAAAAGTCCCGTGATTGAACGTTTGCATCTCATTTGTTATAATTTTTGAAGCAACAAAAGTCAAAATTCATCTATAGATTTAAAAAAAAAATCATATGATGTGCACTTTATGTGTAACACTGTATATTCTGATATAAGTCCACACATACCTTCTTATACGCACAAATAAATATTATTACAAACAAATATTTCGAGTCACCTGTTTATACTGAAAAAGAATATTTAAGACTGACCGCGAATTCGCGATTAACTTCTAAGAAACGGTAGTTATTATAATGTATTAAACCATACCAAGTATCAACATAAGTAATCCCATTAAAAATACAGGGTGAATAAGCGAATTAGCCTACGGCGTCGTGCTCAAATTTCGTCTTCGTGCTATATGTCGATCATATCCACTCTTGTTGCACAAACTACTATTATTTTAAACATTTGTTTATTCTGACCCATTTCAACCTCTACATCAACCTCCAAAAACAGCGGATATATTGGCTGAGAACACCGACCTCGATATTTAACTGGATAGCTATATGACATAAACCCTACTCCTAATCTCTAAGCCACATACTTTAATTACTATACGAGGCAAGAGAGAGGTCCGACACGCCCAACATAGGGCGCGGCCATTTTGAACCCTGTGACACAGTTTACAGCTAAAGAATCAGATCGCTCACTCTGCGTCGGCACTTTTGATCTCAATGTTTCAGTTTATACACTGTGCAATTCGGATAATACAATATATGACAACCGCCTATAATAAAACAGCAGTCTTCTGCGTATCCTGAATTTGTATCCCTGGAGTGGATGTTATTTCGGAACTTTCAACTGGTCCGAGTGAGCTAACTGATTCTTTAGCAATAAACTGTGACTTCAAAAATAATCATTGATAAGGCAAAATAATATTCACTGACACTGACAGTAGCAAGCAAAATATCAGGTGCGTTTTAATCATCCGCTTCTGCTTCCGGAATTGTCGGTTTAGTCGTTTTAACCTGTCAGATTAAAACAAGAAAACTGACAATTCCGAAGCAGAAGCGGATGATTAAAACGCACCTATTAAAAATATTGCGCCAAGATGTAGGCAACACGTAATAAGGGTTCAAAATGGCGGAGTTTTCTATCTCCTTTTAAAAGGCACTCAGAAAGCTGCGCAGTGCGACCATTCTCCGTATAGTAAAAGAAAATCAAAGTATGTGGTCTAAGCCGACATGAGTGAAAAAAATGGTCGGTGCGCATGACAATTTGGACTCCAGACTGTCAATTTAGAGCCTTCTACGTCACGTTTCCCACGGGGTTATATTATTTTTTGTTAATAACGCGCTATTTTAATAACTATTAATATTGGAACATTTGTTTCAGCTGCGTATTAATCAAAAATCATTTTTATGTGATTTTCTTAAATTAAAAGGTGTCTTAGGGTCGATTCCACCGTTGTGTTAAACGGAGATTAAAATGACATTGTTAATGTAATAATGTCATTTTAAACTTCGTTTAACACAACGGTGGAATCGGTCCTTAGTTGAATGTAATAAGTGTTAAGGGCAAGTTCAATTTCGTTTGACATATAATCACGATTTTTTTTAGGTTAGAAAATTGTATTATCGATTTTTTCATTCGAAGTAATACAAGACGTCACTTTAAATTTCTAAAACTCTTTATGTCAACAAATATGTAACACGATGAATTTATAAAACGTATGTCACTAATGAATATGTGGCGGCAACTGACGGCAACACTGTCAGCTACTCCATGGCTACTAGATTACATACAGGTCCGGTATAAGCCATTTATAAATGGAAAATAATAATTTAATGTTTTGATTGAGTTAAATAAAATATCAAAATTAAATGTTTATTTTTAAGTAAACGACATTTTTAAATGTATACGTCTTCAATCAAAAATAATATAGGCTAATACTCAAGTGTATACGAGTGTACTGGACAAGAGATAATTTTACCCTTTACTCCAGTTTTTTGTAATGAAACAAGCAGTAAAATAGATATTTGTGTACCAAGGCTGTGTTTTGGCCGAATTAGACATATGCGTTCAAGTCTAAGCTAGTTCTGGTTAAGTATAAGAGTAATAGGCAAGAAACGGGTGTTCAATCAAACTTGACATCGATATAGATGTCACATAAGCAGGTGTACTGAAGATGAACTTTGCAGGACCAAGCATCAGATAGGTATAACACTTGATATTCTGAAAACTATGTGAATACTACACTGAATAAGAACGAATGGAAGTGTCAGAAGGAGGCTAAAGGCAAATAATAGACGGAACAGAGCCGAATAGATAGATAAGTAATATTTTAGCTAGGAGAGAGTCGATGAGTGTTATAAATATAGTTAATTTATGAATGTATTTTTAATGTATAATTTCAGTTTATTTTCATTTGTGGTATAAAACTATGGCTGACATAATAAAACTCTTAAAAGTATATATATTTTCAATCTTTATTACTATACATTATTTAGTTTTCATTTATTCTCTCTGACCTAGGGAAAAGGTTAGAAAACCCTGGTCATAATTGTTTACAATGTTGGTGTTCCTAATGATACAAAACATTACAGAGGAATGATACTTAGCCGATGAAATTTCATCGAGTTCACGCATGACGTATTGTGGGGTGTAATATGGCTATCTCTGATGCATCTGTAGAATTAATTTTTTTTTGCGTACTGTTTTCTATCAACTGATATCCCAAATTTATACAAGCCACGTTTTCGCACCACAATGTGACATAGCATCAAATCTGCTTAATCTCGTACCATTTTTTTTAAGTATCAAGGATATTCTTGGTGTAGCTGATCATCATGTTTCGAGTCATTGAACCTAAAAAATAACAAATATCAATAAATATAATTCGGAATTTATTCCAAAAATATTTTTCTTTGGGAATTATATAGGATTTCTCGTTAATAAACTGACAAACTTTTAAAGGTGGTAGGTGCATCAAAATAAACATTTTTAATAAAATAAAAATGATTTTATTGTCCAACAAATTAATCCGTTTACAGAACAAAATATATGAAATAAATGTTAAACATAATATTTCGACAGAAAATAATTTTAGCAACAGCAAAAAAAGAAAAGAAAGAATCCTAAATACATTAGCTACAAATTAGTACAACTAATGGTCGAAATAAATATCCCAATCAGAATAAAATTAATTAAAATTTGAGCACATTAGCCTTATAGGTGAATTTCTTCCCAAGTTCGTTCAAATACTTGCTGTATAAAATGTTTTATGATATCTAATGGCTGTTTGGGGAACATTAAAATCAAAAATAGTACATCAATAGTGTTATGTAATATTTTATAAAAAAATGTAATACTGGAAATTACCCTTCTATTTTCGAAAGAAGCAGAGATTCTTCAATACCTCGAATGGGATACAGCTCATCTATTTTAAAAGAAAGGTACTTGAGAGATCGCCGCTGAACATTTTCCAATGATCTTTTATGAATATTGTAAATAAGATTCCAGATAAGAGATGCATATTCTAGCCTGAAACGAACTAAAGAAAAGTAAAGGATCTTCAAGCTTTAAGAATTTGTAAAAGAACGAGTATTACGAATTAAGAACCCTAAGCTTTTCAACGCAGAAGCAGCAGTATTTTCAATATAATCCGAAAAAGTTACTTTTTGGTTGAATAATATACCTTAATCTTTAATTTGTGCATAAGTCCGATAAAGGTAAGCAGTTAAATAAATAATCAAACTCCACCTTGTTAATATTTCTAGTATAGGAACATACTTCACATTTAGACACATTCATAAACAGCTTGTTTTCATTACACCAATTTTCAATGATTCCCAAGTTGGGTCTGTAAAAAGTAATATTCTTGAATTGATGAGATTAAGGTAAATATTTTTAAGTCAGCAGCGAACAGCAGGTTAAATTTATTGCCAAGTCATTTATAAATATACTAAATAATAGTGGCCCCAGATTGGAGCTCTGTGGAACTCCAGATGTTGCTGTGAGGGGTGAAGATGAAAATCCGTTGTAAAAGACATAATTAAAACGATGATTTAGGTAAGATGAAAATAATCTCAACAGCGACTGATCAAACCCTAAGCTTTCCAACTTCCTTACAAGAATATTATGATTTTTAATTATTACAAAATACATTATGGGCAGGTTGTACAAAAAATATTCTAAACATATTTTAACTAATAAGAGTTTTATTTTTAACTCAAAAACAAATGTCATTTTTAAAACTATATTTAACAATAACTGATGAGTATACAATAAGGTTCACAGTTTAAACTAAGTCTACATTTTAACTGCCTATTATACAACCCGCCATATGTACAATTAAAAATTAATTGTATTTCTTCAAAATGCACTTGATTCTGTTAATCAAAACCATTCGATAAAAAAATTAAAAAGTATTGGTATAAAGGTGGTTTTTATATCTATGCTATAAAGCATGCATTGGCTCAGCATGTAAATTATCTAAGTATCAGGTCAGAGAGAATAAAATTAAATAACATATGTAGTGGCATTCTCATCTTTCAGTACGTCTCCTATCGAGACTCCTATCTTTGTTCGACAGACAGCGATTTTGATGTAATGTCTCTCTCTATTCTGTATGTAATGTGCCGAGTTCGCACAAAAGAATCGCTGTCCTGATCAGAAGAAAATAACCACATCAAAGGAAGAAAATTAGGTCCCCTGTTATTTTTAATTTATATTAATGATTGTTGATGTCGCAATAATCAATATGACATTTACCTGTTTGCCTATGATGTCCTTATCTATGTTTCTTGTAAGTTGTAAGGATTCAGATAACTTAGTGAGAGTTAATTGTCAATGAAACTCTGCAAAATGTTGATAAATGATGTTGCAATCATTTGTTAAATATCAACACAAATACCTAAAACAAAATATATATATTATATTATTTATATATATATATATATATATATATATATATATATATATATATATTTATTTATAGGCCTTGTTGGCATCCCTCCATGTTAAAATTGCGTCTGCCGTGGCATCCACGTCCTCGTGGCATCCGATATACAGATGCCACGAGGACTTTCGATGAAACTCATCGCAAATGAAAGGATCCTACCCCTACTAACTCTCGGCAAAATATTGGCGGGATGCCAAAACAGCCTATTTTTGTATGTTTTTAAACATGGTAGTTTGAGCAATGACCGCAACTGCCGCCACTTTCGTGTACTGTATATTCTGAGATATATTTAAAGGAGGTAATGGCATCCAATGATATACATATTCATTTTGAGTACCTGGTGGCCTTTGTATATTCCGTTTTCGGTTTGATGGCATCCATTTCGTTGTTGCCAGATCTTATATTGATTTATAACTCAGCCTTTTCATTTTTATAGATTCTGTAACATACTTTCACTAGGATGAGGCGCCCTTGCGATTTACTTCCGAGAAAATAACATGTGTTTTTAAAGCTATTTTTATTATATCTT